AGAAACTTTAGAATAAAGTTATTCCAATGGTTAAAGTGCTGTGGTATAGGAAAGGAGTTGAGGAAGCTTCATAAGAGCGCGAGGAGGATATGCGTAGCGACTACTGTAGGCATCAAAAATTGCCTATAGTTCTCCACGAACGGTTCAGTGTTAACGATCGACGATTGAACGTCATTACCCAGTGCACAAGAGTTCAAATGACGTCGGTAAGCGCCTGAAGCGAACCGACGGACTACGTGAGCCGAACAGGAGCTAGAGGATTCTCAGCAGGGAGTGCCTTGTAGATGGAGCAGAAGAAGGAGTCGAAGCCTATTCTTTGATGGTTCTAGTTTACCTTTATAGTTCTTTCTTTTTCTATTTTCGCCTGAACGATGTATTTTGTATCTCTCCAGTATTCTCTTGTTCAGATTTGTATAAGGGCATGTTTGACCCATATTTTTATGTCTGGGATGATTTACCATTGATGATATGTCTATTTTATTCTGGGTTGTCTTTATATTCTTGCTATGTGTGATCGGGGACCTGTGACTTCGTATTATATTTATTTCCAGACGCTTAGCGTATTAGATTGAGAAGAAGAGGTCTAGCACTTATCTCTCCTCAGTCTAATACGTCGCGGGCTTGCTCGCGTCCCGATTCCCTGGTATTTTGGGAAGCGGGGCGTGACATGTATAATGTTGAGGAAGGTTTATTATCTAGCATGTGCATTAAGGAATCTCTCAATCATATTAGAAGCCTCAATTTGCAGATGATACTTTACTTTTTTTCAAAAGCACCTACAATGACTTTTCTACCCTAAAGGCTATTTTATACATTTTTGAAGATATCTCAGACTTGGGCATTAATTATTCAAAGTCGTCCCTAATCTATTTTGGCAGAAAGCAGAACAAAGGACAATCTCTAGCCTCAGCCCTCAATTGCAAAGTTGACAAACTTCCTATCAAGTATCTAGGCTTTCCTTTGATGGGTGACAAATTATCAAAATCTGATTGGCAACCTTTATTGGATAATCTGCATCGGAAACTTGCATCATGGAAAAGTAATTGTTTATCTTTTGTAGGCAGACTTGTTTTACTGAACTCAGTCCTTTCTTCGATTCCTTTATATTTTATGTCCTTCTACAAACTTCATTGATGGTTGATTAGAGAAGTTGATAAAATCAAGAAAAACTTCCTATGGACATGAGGTAAAGGTATTTCCAAACCTTTCAAATGCTTAGTCAATTGGAAGAAAGTATGCTTGAGTAAATTAGAAAGAGGGTTGGGGGTGAAAGATATAAAATTGTTTAATATCTCTCTTCTTTCAAAATGGCTATGGAAATGTCTTGACAGAGATTCTTTAATTGGAGCATTCCTTCATCATCTATATATCAGGAAAGTTTCCAATCTTCAAGTAGCTAATTGTAATGCCTCAAACTCCTCTTTTTGGAATGATATAATCTCCAACAAAGAAGTTTTCATACATCTCCTATCATGGTCTCTTGGTTCTGGTGAAAAAAATCAGGTTTTGGGAGGATAACTGGATTGGTAATAACACATTATCAAGTTTATGTCCGTCTTTATACAATCTATCTTTGTCTACTAATGTCTATATTCATAGTCAAGGAAACTTTCATAATCATATATGGCATTGGCATCCACTTTTGAAGAGAAGCATCTCATCTATATCCTACACTGCCAAACTTGAGCTAATGAATTTTATTGGCCTGCACAGAGTTACCAATCACGTTGACATCGCTAAATGGTCTCTTACATCAAGTGGTTCTTTCTCTGTCAAATCTTTCTATGATTTCTTAAACTCTAGAGGAATTCTATCTGTCATCTATAGAGTAGTACGGAATCCAATTATGCCAAGCAAAATTCAATTTTTCACATGGCTCTTATCTATGAATAGACTTCATACCAAAGATAATCTTATGAAGAAAGGTTGGCAAGGTGAGTCTACATGTATTTTTTGTGGTATTCATCCTGAATCTTATGAGCATATCTTCTTTTCATGCAATATAATCAAAAAAGTATGGAAGCATTTTAGTGATTGCTATCTACCTTTCAATTGGCCAACATCACTAGATGGACTTCTTCAATCTGTTGGATCTCTACATAAAGTTGATGGGATCTTATGGCGCTCTGTTTTCTCTACAGTTTGCTGGTTTTTATGACTGCAAGAAATAAATTTGTTTTTGAACAAGTATCATTCTCTGTTCAATCGATCATTAACTCATCTGTCTTTGGATTGTATGAATGGACAAGTTCTGGAAGAGGGAGTGCTGCACTTAAGTTAGCAACAGCATATGAAATCATATGAAATTTTCTCTTCAAACATTTCAAGCAAATTAAGAAACACAAAAAGTAGCTAAATAATGTATGGACTACAGCTTCCCATTTTATTTGTTGTTGCACGAAACTAATCACGTTCACCTGTACTTTTGCATTGATAATAAGTATGTTCACCTATACTTTTAGGAACTTTCTAGGTAAAAAAATTATGACTAAGCTTATAAATTTAACTCCTCTTTAGTTGGGAAAGGCAATCAACATGACAAAATAATAAATTGAAGTTTAATTAGGCAATTCAAACACTCATACTATCCTACCAATACCATGAGAATAAACTAGTTCCTACCCCTTACCTATAATACCCTAAACACCATTATCTTAATCTCATTTCTTAATCATTTATACTCCCAACTTCTCCAAACAATCCAATTCCAACTGCTGCAACAAAAAAATTAATGTCCGACCCAACATCAGCCATTGTCCCCATTTCTCCATCGACCCCCAAAACTCCCCTCCGGCGGCCCCCCAAAACTCCCCTCCGGCGGCCTCGCAGCCGACTGGCTGGATCGAACAACAAGCCAAAACCCCCCATCATCATTGCCCATGAGAGCCCGGGCGCACTCCGGACCCATGCGATCGAAATTGCCTCTGGCTGCGACATCTCCGGCTGCATTGCCGCCTTCGCCCGTGACACGCCTGTGTGGGTCTGCATCCTCAGCAGCGGCGGCTGCGTTGCCAAACGTCACGCTGGCGGCATCCCTCGACGGCCGCCGCGGTTGTCAAGCTCGACGGATGCTTCGAGATCCTGTCGTTGGTCGGCTGTTTTTTGCCGGCTGGCGTTATTGCGGCGAGTGACGGTTTTCCTTGCCGGAACTCAGGGGCAGGTTGTGGGGGAGTGTTGTGGGGCCACTTCTTGCAGCGGGGCCGGTGGTGGTGATGGCGCTTCTTTTGCCGGTGCGTCATTTGAGAGGCTGCTAGAAGGAGAGGTGCAGCGGCCAGTGCGCGGCGGGGGGTATTGTGGGTGGATGCGCGGAGGTTATGTGGCGAAGAAAGAGCTGAGAGTTTGAATGTGTGAGAGGCGGGAAGATTGTGAGCCTTGTGGCTTTTTGTTCGTTTATAATTTACACTGATGAGAATGGACTAGTTTTAAGTGAAATCGTTCAAGGAAGAAAAGAGTAAGTAAATTGGTTTTACTTCCCAATCAGATTTGATACGTGGTTTGTAGTTATTATTTTGTTTTGCCTGAAAATTTTAGAAAGGAAGGTTCACGATATTAATTATGTTAGAAATAAATTCCATTGCTCTAGATAATATTCAAAGTATGAATATATGATTGAAAATGTGCTTTATCCACTACCTTCTCTTTTTACTATTCATTTCGTGTATGTATATATATGTAGCTACTTAGTCTAAATGGGACGTACTAGATTGTATATCCAAACAAAATCCGTTTTAGCTTCTGAAATAGGGGGAAAATGTTTTTAATGATATAATTTTTCCTTGATTACAATCCCCTCCAAGATTATTACATTGTACATGTCAACAAAAGGCTTCATTTCAAGCCGTGTTGTACTAATATATAATAGAGCGTTAGTACTACCTAGGTCCCAAATTACGGACAATTGAAGAAGAGAACTGAACCCACTGTTATAAAAGTGCTTTCACAATTTTCCTCTGCCCTGAGACAATTCTTATACAACTGGTTCTACTATCATTCGTAAACTATACTAATTCTTATTTTTCGTTCAAGGCAAACCATATTTGATATATAGTCACTAGTACAAACTGTAACAGCCCCAACGGTTGTAACCGTTGGGGCTGATCGTGTCCCCAACGATTAGAACCGTTGGGGCTGCTAAAACACCCGTTGGGACAAATTACGTTGGGGCTGATCTTGCCCCAACGGTTGAAAAACTTGCCCCAACGGTTACAACCGTTGGGGCAAGAAATTTCATTTTTTTTTTATTTTAAAAATAAAAAACACCCCAACGGTTAGAACCGTTGGGGCCTTAATCAGCCCCAACAGTTCTAACCGTTGGGGTCTTAATTAGCCCCAACGGGTACAACCGTTGGGGCAAGTGCGTGATTTAAAAAAATCAATTATGTTTAAGATTAAAATTGTGTTATTTTTCTACTTATAGTTGCGGTAGAAGGAATATGTTGCACTGCACTTTTACCATTTAGTTAGGGGCTGTTTGGATCGGTTTTTTGGATCGGTAAAAGGGAGGAAAGCTGTCAAAAATGTTAGCTTTTTGGCAGTTTTCCCCCAAAATCGCCTCTTATTGAGGTGATTTTGGGTTTGGGGGAAAGCTGCTAAAAAACTGACATTTTTGACAGCTTTCCTCTTTCTTTCCCCTTCCAAAAACCGGAACCAAACAGCCCCTTACAAGTTACCCTATTATAATTCAAATTTATTGTCACCAATGCCTTCTTTTTCTCATACTGAGCTCTCTATTTTAACTAAGAAGACGCAAAGGATGTACACAATCCAGCGTGCAGATATTCCAAAGCTCTTACTGGCTAAAATCTAGATTTCTTTGTGATACTTTGCCATGACAATGAATACACGCCACTCAGCAATCAAGAGAGCTTTCTCACAACTAGAGGCTGAGAAATCACCAAACCCCATGTCCATATCTCATCAACCAATGAAATCAAGGATTAAGATTTCCCCGGATAACAACCCACCCTCCTCAAATTAATTTGCTATTTATACCCGTAACACGACCCTCACATCTCCATCACCTCCTCTTCATCTCCAATCCTCAGTCACCTGCACCATCTAAAATGGCATCAACAATGGCTCTCTCCTCCCCTTCTCTCGCCGGGAAGGCGGTGAAGCTCACCCCTTCTCCGAGCTCATGGCAACGGCAAGTCTCAATGCGCAAGACCGCCAAGCCCGTGCCCTCTGGAAGCCCTGTACGCCCGGACCGCGTCAAGTACCTCGGCCCGTTCTCCGGCGAGCCCCCATCCTACCTCACCGGTGAATTCCCCGGTGACTACGGGTGGGACACCGCCGGCCTCTCGGCTGACCCCGAGACCTTCGCCAAGAACCGTGAGCTCGAAGTCATCCACTGCAGGTGGGCCATGCTCGGCGCTCTCGGGTGTGTCTTCCCCGAGCTCCTCTCCCGCAACGGCGTCAAGTTCGGCGAGGCCGTCTGGTTCAAGGCCGGTGCACAAATCTTCAGCGAGGGCGGCCTGGACTACTTGGGCAACCCAAGCCTTGTTCATGCGCAGAGCATTCTGGCGATCTGGGCTACTCAGGTTGTGCTCATGGGAGCTGTTGAGGGTTACAGAATCGCCGGTGGGCCCCTTGGGGAGGTGACCGACCCTCTGTACCCCGGTGGCAGCTTCGACCCATTGGGCCTCGCCGATGATCCCGAGGCGTTCGCCGAGCTTAAGGTGAAGGAGATCAAGAATGGGAGATTGGCGATGTTCTCGATGTTCGGATTCTTTGTGCAGGCAATTGTGACCGGAAAGGGGCCTCTGGAGAACTTGGCTGATCACCTTGCTGATCCCGTCAACAACAATGCTTGGTCTTATGCTACCAACTTTGTGCCCGGCAAGTGAGGAGGAGATTGATTTTCTTTCTCTGCAGCAACAATTGATCTGTTTCAAGAATCTTGAGTGGGTTTTGGATGTCTGAGGTTGTTGGTGATGTATATTAGTCTTGTGCAAGCGAGAGATTGCTTATGCTTGCAATTATATTATGATTCATTTGGTCTGGTTTACGTTCATTTTTCTCTAAAAAATTAAGCATATATATAAGTAATTCCAGATCAAAGTAGTGTCAAGAAATGGCTACTAATTTAGTAACCAAAAGTCTTTTCAGATACAAATTTCAGGGTTATCTGAATCCCTTATACGCACATTATGCATCTTCAAGTAGATTAGGATAGGTTTGATCAGAACATAAGATCACAAGAATCTCTGGCATTAACCTGTCAACAAATCACAAAGTCGATCCTTAGTTCTCAATTTACTTTGCATACATTCTTACATTTTATGGCCAAGGCACAGATATTGTAGCTTTCGTGATTTGCTATGGTTGGTTGGATTTGTTATATTTGAAAAAAGTAATATATGGATATGGCACAACTTCATCAGTAAAAAAAATGTAATTTAAGGTTTTAGGCGTCAGCACTAACATCAATTGATGATGTTGGTTTATTTGATGCAAATGCGATTTAGGACTCCGAATCATGTCTACATAAAATATCTGAACTAATTAAGCGACATTTGTTGATTTACACTTAAGTAAGTGAGCAAATAAGTACAGCACACAGTTCAACTTTTTCACATAAACAATCTAAACAGCGAAGGAAATGATCCAAAAAGTAGATCGAGTAAGGAGAAGCTATGCAAATTTAGAGGGGGTTATCTCAAAATTGTGCATAGGTGTTGCTATTCATCATGCTAAGCCCTGTATAAAATCTATAGACGTTTTCGCAATATCGTCTTATTGAACTGTTCTCATCTATTGCTTTTCTTCTATGGGATGCTCAGTTCGATATTATATATAGAAGAAAAATGGAAAATGCTTCATATTTGTTTGCTTAAACTGTTTCTCCATATACATATGATATAGTTAAATGACAATTGAAGTGTCCGTTCTACTTCGGAACCTAATAATAGTTCCCGTCACAAAATGTACGAAGTCATGAGCTACAATTAATTATGCTTTTCATTCTGAGAGAAAATTTCATATTATCTTTGAACAATCAATTCTTGTAAATTTCTGCTATGCCCTTGCAGGACTATCTCAACATGGAACTGGCAATTTTGTTGAGATAGATTAAAGTTGAGACTTATTTAATACTCTTAAAATCTTGACAGGATTAACAAGTGAAAACTCATTTCTTAGGTTTGAATCAAATTCAATGTTTTTATATAGCTTGAAAGAAACTGAAGTTGGGCAATATCAGGATATTCATTTCCAAATTAAAGTTGATCTGAGGAACATTTCAAATTAAATTATGTCACTGTTTTAAGAAATATAGTAATAAGAGAACAAATAAAACTTAAGTGCAAATCTAAATGGTGTCCATTCATGTAAAATCATGAAAGTTACAGCCTCTCGTCCTCTCATCTTTCAAGTTCAAACTCGGTCTACTGCTAATCTTGATCAGGACCTGTATTGATCCTGATTTCCACAAGCAACGTCAGTAAAATCTCAAGCATGAAAGATTATATTACTCTAATTAATTTACAAAATTAATTTGCATGATTTACTTTGTTGGAAATCGGTAAATGCACTTCTGCACATAATACTTCAGTTCTGCAGCATGGAAGATAAATGCCGTTACTCTTGGTTTCAGTCAATTTCTTAAGTTGAGAGCTGATCTCTTGATGTGTTGATATTGCTGGTAACTCGCTTGTTCGGAAAGGAAGGAGACCAATTTAAGTGGAGTTTAAGAATTGGTTTGCTTTCTTTCAGTTTTAAGTTGGCATGCTCTCCTTTAATACAAATCTTAAAAGCTTTGGGGTGGTTATTACGAATAATGATTGCCCCTTTTGTACAGGAATTTCACATTCCTTGAGCATGGCAGGAGGTCTTACCTTGGGTGCTTACCGAATCGAGAGGAAGCTTAGTGATAAAAGGGATTAAGAGGACAGATACGGCTGCTTCCATTTATCACATTTCGTGTGCACTGAATTTGATTGCGTTTCAACAGCAAAGGAGAAGTGTGCGTCAATGTTTACAGATGCTGGAGTTTGAAATAAAAATTCAATCCCGCTAAACTAGTAAGATGAGAGACTGTTTGAAAAATAGATTGTGGAGCTCAAGCATGAAGATGTTGTTGGAATATCAAATTAAAATGTTAGAATAAATGAGGTTAATAGCATGAGTTTTAGAAGTGCAAGGTCACAAGTTTAGAAGGGGAAGAGACATAGGTTATGGAAGAATAAGAGTTACTCACTCCTTTATGATATTTTGTCTTTATGACATTAAAAGAGGAGTTTAATTTGTGACTCTTGGTATGCCTATATGTTTTGTTTTTAAAGCCTATATAAAGAGTTATTGTAATCCTTGTTTCATCAAAAAAATTAAAGAAATAAAAGTAACTTCTTTGTCTTCATTTGGGAGAGTTCTAAGTTCGTAAACTTAAGAGTCAACAGTGATATCAGAGCCACTTGATCCAATTTTCCCATTCTCTCTTCTTCTCATGACCACCGCAAATTATCTTGTCAATCCTCAAGTGCCCAAACTATCGAAAGATAACTATGAGAGTTGGTCAATCCAAATGAGAGCCTTATTTGGTTCTCAAGAGTTGTGAGAGCTAACCATTGATGGGTTCACGGAACCTACACCAGCAGTAGAAGCTATCTACACCGCCAAAGAGAAGAAGGCTCTCAGAGAGCAAAGAAAAAAGGATAGCAAGGCTCATTTTCTACTCTATCAAGGGTTGGACGAGTCTACCTTTGAGAGAGTTGTCGAAGCAACGATGAGCAAGAGAGCATGGGAAATACTTGCTACCATCTACAAAGGTGTCGAGCGGGTGAAGCGAATTAACCTCCAAACTTTGAAGGGCGATCTTGAAGCCGCTCAAATGAAAGATGAAGAAAAAATCTCTGATTATTATTCACGATTACTTCTAATTGTGAATAAAATGAGGAGAAATGGAGAGAATATGGAGGACATCCGAGTGATGGAGAAGTTGCACCGATCCCTCACACCAAAATTCGAGCACGTGGTGGCGACAATTGAGGAGTCAAAGAATTTGGAGAATATCTCAAAAGAGGAGCTCTTGGGATCTCCCCAAGTTCATGAACAACGAATGCAAAAGAAGGCTAGTTCCATAGTTTTGGAATAACTACTAGAGTTAACATTGACTCTAAGTAATTAAGGCTCACAAGGTAGAGGTCGTGATCGTGGTCGTGGTAGAGACAGGGGACGTGGTCCCCAACAGAAAACCACTCAAAATCAAGTAGTGACCCAAAGCTTTAGAGGACGAGGACGAAGCAATCGTGGAAGATCCACACCTGGGTGTGAAAACAACAAGTATGTTCAGTGTTATAACTGTCACAAGTTTGGACACTATGCTTCAGATTGTTGGCACAAAATTGAAGATCAAACCAATCTTGTCGAAGTAACAAATGATATGGGTAACAACACTACGTTTCTTCTTGCTAATGATGATGATTCAAGTGTTGAGAATGATTCTTTGTACCTTGACTCGGGTGCTAGCAACCACATATGCAGGAAGAAAGAACTTTTTATGGAACATGCAAAAGGAGTTCATGGAAGTGTGAGCCTAGGAGATTCTTCAAAACTCTCGGTTGAAGGCAAAGGAAAGATTAAAATCTACCAAAAGGATGGTAAGCCCGAGTATATTTCCGATGTTTACTATATTCCTAACATGAAAAGTAATATTCTTAGCATCGGTCAATTACTCGGAAAGGGATACAAAGTATATATGGAGAACAACCATCTTTGGTTAAAAAATGCAAATAGAGGCCTCATAGCTTGTGTTAAGATGACAAGGAACCGCATGTTTCCCTTGCATCTAAACACAAAAGTCGACAAGTGTTTTCAAGGACGCATGGAGAATGAGTCATGGAGGTGGCATCTTCGCTTCGGCCATCTAAACTTCAGCGGCATGAAGTTACTGTCTACAGCTAGCATGGTACGAGGTCTACCAACAATCAATCCACTGAATCATATTTGTGAAGGTTGTGTAATTGGCAAGCAACCACGACTTCTTTTTTCCAGTGGAAAATCATGGAGAGCAAAGGCACCATTGCGACTTACTCACACCGACATCTGCGGACCGATCGATCTCGTCTCTTTGGGAGGTAATAGATATTTTATAACCTTCATTGATGACTTCAGTAGAAATTTGTGGGTGTACACTCTTAAAGAAAAATTTACTGCCTTTATTATATTCAAGCATTTTAAAGCTTTAATTGAAGCGGAGAGCGGCCACAAGCTAAAAATTCTTCGATCTGACCGAGGTGGTGAGTACACCTCAAATCTGTTTTAAGAATATTGCAGGGAGCAAGGTATAAAGAGATAGTTTACTACTGCCTACACACCACAGCAAAATGATATTGCAGAAAGAAAGAACCGGGCCATCCTCAAAATGACAATAACCATGCTCAAAGAAAAGGGATTGCCAAAGCAGTTCTGGGCAGAAGCCGTAGTGTGCTCAGCTTATTTGCTCAACCGATGCCCGACAAAGATAGTGAAGAACAAGACACCTCAAGAAGCATGGAGCGGTTACACGCCTAGTGTGGCACACCTACGAATTTTTGGGTGTGTTGCATATGCTCAAGTACCTAAAGTCAAAAGGAAGAAGCTTATCAAACTGGAAACATGTTGGAGGGATAACTTGCTACAAAAGAAATAGTTTTTATTTTTGTTTATTCAATTGACTGTAGTATTTTTAGTGATATATTTTGAGTCGTTGCTTCAAGAATGTTATTTGGTTTTATTTTTGTCTTTAGAACAATGTAAGAACTTGGTATAAATATATGGTCTTTATCTTTTTTGAGTTTAGTTAAATTAGATCAACTTATTTTTTTTTATCTTTTCATGTTATATGATCAATAGTTTCATATGTAAAATTTATAATTACGTTCACTTGCTTAGGACATGGGTGGGCCTCCATATAAAAACTTATGCCAAATGGGGTTAAGTCAAGATTCCACTGATTGGAGTCAAGGGATACCTGCATCTCTAAGTCAAATTGGAAGTCAAGCTAATCCTTTTACTCCTATTCTCGGAGGAATCGGA